CCTTTGAACCGTATTGTGGAGAAAACTGTTTTCGAGAACATTATCTCGTTTCTCCTTCCGTTCAACGGCCTTTCCTTACTTCTTCATGAAGTAACAGGGATAACAGTTCTCCTGCAGTACGGTTGGGTGTCTTGAGTATCTTCCCACCGTCTCATCGGAGTAACATTTCTCAACTTGTTGCCAAAAACCTTGCACCAAGGTTCGTTTATACTTTATTGGACAACAGCTTTTGGAATGTAACTATTTTCCTGTCCAGATTGACCTGTGGAATATCGAGCTGAAAGATGCCTCTCATATGACTGCTTACTATTTAGGTACCAATGAAGTGCGAATATCCTCGTTTTACATGCTTATCCGTGAATTTAATGACATTGTATCAAACAGTGAAGCACCCTTGGGCATATAAACTCCCTTCCAATACAACGGGCACAAATGAGCGTTTCCTGTGTGAAGTGACCCAATGGGTTATGCCCCATAGAAATGTCATATAAAGTGGTCCAATCGGAGTGTACATTTTTGTAAGTTTATGGGACCGAGGTGTTACAGAACGCGGTGGAATTCCACCATGGAGAGGATTTCGCGGTTTTAGAGACAGAACCGAGGGGCTCGGTACGACATATTTAGCAGACTGGTAGTGAACAGTTCCCGTAGCAACGAACTTTCACAATCCACCCGCATTTAGAAACAAGTAACATGTTGAGCAGAATGTATCGAAGCTGGACGGAGTTGAACAAGTAATGAGGTTTTCCAACGGTCAAATGGTGATGGTCGAGCAGTATGTTCTTATTCGGTTGATATTGCTAACAAATCAAGCTGAGCACGCAGGTCCGGGGAGAGTGCACAAAGCCGTTCACCTCCTGAGAGATTTCACTAGACGCACAAAACACAACTGCCGCCAACAGTTTGCAATCCTGGCAATCATTTACCGGTTAGTTTTGTCATAATCGAGCGGTGTCGTGGTGCTTACATAAATCATCATCATCATCATCATTCTCCTCCTCCTCCTCCTCCTCCTCCTCCTCCTCCTCCTCCTCCTCCTCCTCCTCCTCCTCCTCCTCCTCCTCCTCCTCCTCCTCCTCCTCCTCCTCCTCCTCCTCCTCCTCCTCCTCCTCCTCCTCCTCCTCCTCCTCCTCCTCCTCCTCCTCCTCCTCCTCCTCCTCCTCCTCCTCCTCCTCCTCCTCCTCCTCCTCCTCCTCCTCCTCCTCCTCCTCCTCCTCCTCCTCCTCCTCCTCCTCCTCCTCCTCCTCCTCCTCCTCCTCCTCCTCCTCCTCCTCCTCCTCCTCCTCCTCCTCCTCCTCCTCCTCCTCCTCCTCCTCCTCCTCCTCCTCCTCCTCCTCCTCCTCCTCCTCCTCCTCCTCCTCCTCCTCCTCCTCCTCCTCCTCCTCCTCCTCCTCCTCCTCCTCCTCCTCCTCCTCCTCCTCCTCCTCCTCCTCCTCCTCCTCCTCCTCCTCCTCCTCCTCCTCCTCCTCCTCCTCCTCCTCCTCCTCCTCCTCCTCCTCCTCCTCCTCCTCCTCCTCCTCCTCCTCCTCCTCCTCCTCCTCCTCCTCCTCCTCCTCCTCCTCCTCCTCCTCCTCCTCCTCCTCCTCCTCCTCCTCCTCCTCCTCCTCCTCCTCCTCCTCCTCCTCCTCCTCCTCCTCCTCCTCCTCCTCCTCCTCCTCCTCCTCCTCCTCCTCCTCCTCCTCCTCCTCCTCCTCCTCCTCCTCCTCCTCCTCCTCCTCCTCCTCCTCCTCCTCCTCCTCCTCCTCCTCCTCCTCCTCCTCCTCCTCCTCCTCCTCCTCCTCCTCCTCCTCCTCCTCCTCCTCCTCCTCCTCCTCCTCCTCCTCCTCCTCCTCCTCCTCCTCCTCCTCCTCCTCCTCCTCCTCCTCCTCCTCCTCCTCCTCCTCCTCCTCCTCCTCCTCCTCCTCCTCCTCCTCCTCCTCCTCCTCCTCCTCCTCCTCCTCCTCCTCCTCCTCCTCCTCCTCCTCCTCCTCCTCCTCCTCCTCCTCCTCCTCCTCCTCCTCCTCCTCCTCCTCCTCCTCCTCCTCCTCCTCCTCCTCCTCCTCCTCCTCCTCCTCCTCCTCCTCCTCCTCCTCCTCCTCCTCCTCCTCCTCCTCCTCCTCCTCCTCCTCCTCCTCCTCCTCCTCCTCCTCCTCCTCCTCCTCATCATCATCAGCAACATCATTCTCATCATCGTCATCATCATCATTCTCCCGCTCCTTCTCATCATCATCTTCTCCTCATCATCATTCATCCTCATCATCATTCTCATCTTCATCAACATCATTCTCCTCCTCCTTCTCATCGTCATCATGGTCCTCCTCCTCATCATCATCATTCTCGTCCTCTTTCTCATCATCATCCTCATCATCGTCATCATCATCATGACCATCACCATCATCAGAGAATGCTTCTTTCCTCATATAAATAACATGAGATGGAACCCAGCGAGAAATCCGACACAGTGTGTCAACCTCGTACCTTATGTTTAAATTTCTAAAGCAAAGCGCGAGTCAAACTTTGGGTATTAATTCTAACGATTTATTTTTTACTATATATGTATAGATATGTGTATATAGATATTAGTAAGATCTGTCGAGGCAACTATTTGGACGAGGCTGAAACCGAACGAAAAGTGACAAGACCGGTTGGCAATAAAAAAACTATAACTGGCATCTCCGATCCATCACGAAGTAACAAATGTCCGATGACTGCTTTCATATCTATGCGTATCAAATTTATTTCACAATCAGAATTGGTTGTGTTGATGGTCCTAGTGACTGAAAAAGTCTTGCACACCTTCCTGTGTGACAGCCCCCTTTGAACGGTCTTTATTACATGGCGAGCCGTTCTGTTTAGATCGATTTGTGTAGCGACAACTGGTAGACTAGATGTGGCAATCCTGCTAATACCGGATGCGTTAGGTGCCGCGAAATCCTTGGCGGTAGGCTTGTTTATCCAGTGTTTCTGTTTTCAAACGTCTTCATTCTTGCGGCCCTGGAAATTAAGATCTCCGTCAGGGTTACGAATGTGGTTTTTCAAGGAGCTCAGAATGAATAGTATTCTGGAAGAAGATTTTGATAAAAGTATGCGAATCACTTCGACGATGCAGTCTGGTTGGATGTAGAACGTAAGCTAGGCCTTTTGCACTCAAGAACAAGTGTGAGACAAGGACCCCTGTGATGCAGTAAATCGAAGACTGACGTGCATACAACTCACAGAGCTCTCAGCCTTTTCCAGTTTTTTTTGTGGACATCGATGCTTTTGTCAGAATATTGGTGCCAGCCAAATTGAAAACGCGGGACCAATAAGTATCTTATTTCACAACTGAATACCAGTGGGTCCGTCTTGGGATAGTAACAAACGAACGGAGATCATGCAGCGAATGGATGTAGGTGTCAGGTATGAAGGTCATCCAGACATCAGCCACCCACGAGACAGGTTAATCAAGAAATCAACGAATTTAAAATCACTGCTAACAAGTTAAGGTTGGCCTGGACGTTGATATCTTACATAAATCCATGCTCGAACAATATCTACGCTCTTTCACTAGCAACAAACTTCCAACTGTGACACACTGCTCATGTCAGCTCGACGGACAACGACATGCCTCTTCGAAAATCGACTCATTCCGTCGTAAAATTAACGACCAACTTATCCTTGTCATTAACATTGGTAGAATGTTCTAAGAAAACTATGCTGTTCACGAAAAGCGCATTGAGAAGTGAACCAGGTATTCCCGAGAAATACACTCATTCGCAAATCAATTTGCTTTTCACGAGAGACTCAACTGAATCTCTCGTTTATGATATTCAGCAACCTTGCGAGTAGTTTCCTTTAGGAAAATATACTGCGATATCTCGAATATCGTACCAACTGAATCATGAGGCGGCCTGTGTGCAGCACATTCAGTTGTAGAATATCATAAACGAGAGATTCAATTGAGTCTCTCGTGAAAACCCAATACATTTGCAGATGAGTGTAGTTCTCGAAAACAGTGCAATTTGGGTTCAAGTAGAACATAAGGTTGACGGAAACTCGGGGACTGCACCTACCTGATCAGCCTCAAGAAGAGCGAAACCGGCCGTGGGCTGTCGAAGAGTTTTCAGCAAACTTGTGAGTAGTTTCCTCTGGGAAAATAAACCGGACATTATTTATTGGCTTTTCATCTATCCAAAGGGACGGAGTTAGTCAACTCTGGAATATTACTGCATGTGATGTATTTGCAAATCCATTACAGTAAGGCATCAAGGCTATCTGTGTTGAGCCATCGGACCAATCGGTCCAATTAAAATATACTCGGGCCCTCCGTGGAATGCGCGAGGAAAGATTGTCCTCCGTTGAGGTCGAATTAAAACAATGCATACACTAATGTAACACATAGTAATAAAGTAGGAATTGAAGTTGGTATGTTAAAATGTTCAACGTGACCCTTCATAGCAATTTCACCCATTTATGCAGTCGGATGAAAATTTTTTCGCCCACAACCAGCTACTTTCAGCAGAACATGATGGCCGAACACCGCTGGACAATCAAACCCTAGAGCTCATCCAACCAGCATCTTACAATGTTTCGCGAAGTCAGTTGGAATATATAGAAAAAATAGGTAATAAATCACTTTGAAGTCACAGGGAGACATTGGTAAGTTCAGATTCATCGGAATATCCCGCGTTTCCCCGTTCTGCAGGCCGTCACTGCTTCGTCGTTGGTGGCATACCCATTTGTTCATCATACAAAGGCTGGTTATTCGTTTTCTGACAATGAGGAGACAGACTAGGACAGGTGGAGACAAATGTGTGTGTGTGCGCACACACACACACAGCACGTGTACTTGCAGTGACCGGCGCAAAAATGTGGGAGACCCGTTGTCATGAGGACTGTACTGTTTTATTTGAGGCGGTAAAAAAGTTGTCCAGTAATGGATTTGTCGATAGTAATCAAACAGTAAATATGACTCAAGACTGTAGAGGAAGGACAGAGGCTTTGTGTAATCAGTGAGGATAGGCTGGGTCATGAAGATATCATTACCGTGGAGAACAAGGCTGTGGTGTGACGGTTTGCCTGCCTCCGTTACCCATTGAGATATACTGAGGGGTGTCTTTGGGGTCATCACAGTCTCTCGTACCAGGTTGGTCAATGATTAAAGGTCTGACTAACACAGTCTCCTGGGCCTCATGTTGGAGGCTAAAACATCTGTGGCTACTTGTTCTTTAGGAGCAGTAATGCACTGTCATTTCACGCCACCTTGAGGTCAGGCTTCTGAGCCGAAGGTTTTGGTCGAGGACCCCAATCGTCCAACTGTCTAGATGTGCGCAACCTGGCAGTATATCAGCCCATGTATAACCATGGATTGCAAATATACAAATGATCCCATCCCACATCGGTTGTCGCGTGTTAACGTCGGCCGGACCGCCTTACTCGCTGCATACAGCAAGGCGAGTAAGCGGAAGTGGGCTACTGCTGGAACCACCTCATTAATAACTCTCTCCTGTCGGATTCTGCAACAACATCTGCGCGTCATACAGCGCTGACGTCCTCAGGCAGCTCGAAATCACTCTTCAAGTTTTGGGCGCTCAGTCTATCTATTTGCAGTTCCCCCCACATTACGGCAGCGACTCACCAGTATTGAACACTAATGTTATGCGGCTGCTGACGTTCGTGAATGGACAAGAGCCACGGTTTCCGACTCCTTCCTACATTGCAGCTCTTTCCAAATACCCCCCCCCCAAAGGATCCCTTCATATTACAATTAAAAAAAAGACCAAGCGAATACGCCTTCATTAAAAAGGATATTCCAGATAGTCCATCACTGGTGAGTGAGCTAAAAAAATCCCTAGTTTGTCTTCACAAGGTGATGGAATCGAAAGCCCCTGAAACCGTTCCACAGCTGTTGATCTTTGACACCCCCCTTCCTGCAGGACTTTCATTCTGTCATACGAATTCAGAACCTGTGTGGTGACCAGTTAAAACATATGCAGAAGCTACATGGTTTTGGAAAATCAGGGGGGTGACTAAATCCCATGTTTGTTGAGTACTGTTTACTATCGACTGTCAGAAAGGTGGCAAATACAGATATTATTCAAACATAGAGCTTTGCGAATATACATTCATTCGCAAACTAATTTGGTTTTTTCGAGAGACTCACCTGGAACCCAGCTGAATCTCTCGTTTATGATGTTCTCAGGCAACTGAATGTGCTGCACCAGGCCGCCTCATGTTTCAGTCGCTAC